TTCAGGACCATTGTTGGAGATTTTGGGTTCACTTTCAGCTCACATGATTCTGCTATTTTCATTCGCAAAACAGACCAGGGTACTATCCTTTCTTGTCCTCTATGTTGATGATATGATCATCACTGGTGATGACACATCCGGAATTTTGGATCTCAACACTTATCTTAGCCAACATGTCGAGATGAAATATCTTGAAAAGCTTAGTTACTTTTTGGTTTTATGATAGATTGATTACTTTTATGAGAAAGACATAAATGTCTTAATAACAATACTTTAAATTGTTGCAGTTCTGATAGAAGCAGAAAATTGATAAAAATGAATTAGAAACTATATTTTTTCGAAAAATTCTTAAATTCTTAAATACCTTCAAAAAATAATGTGGCATAAAATATTGATGGTTATCAAATGTAACAATTTAGTTTTACAACAAGATCTTAATTGATTGGAGCTTCCAGACCCTTAATCTTTGAACTAGAAAGTACAGTGCCAAAATTCTATGATGGATCTCAAGGGGGAGATGAGATTAACATTGGTTTAAAAATGAAGAAACTTCTGTTGAGTGAGCTGGTTCTTGTTCTTTCCATGACAATCAGTGACCTGCTAGTTATCAATGTTGTCTTTCATAATATTATCTTTCATGTAAAACTTACTGTGTATCATTTTTAGTTGATCATCCTAGCTGGTTTCTTAACCATTCTCGCCACTCAGTAACAGCTAAAACTGTAAAAGTTAAATATTGAGTCCTTGGATTATTTCATAAATTTGTGAAGAAACAATGATTTGCACACAATCAACTCATAATACACTTTTTCCCACCAAGTTCATTCTGACTTCTTTTTTATAATTTCAATTGCCAATACATATCAGACAATAAGCACTACAAATGATATCTATAAGAAATGAGGGGTGGATACTTCATGTGGTTCTATTGAAATGCGCACTAAAATTAAAGTTTGACTATTTATAAAATGATAAATTTTGCCAGACGGATACTTAATTGTCATTTAAGATGTTTAATGCACATTAAATATTGAGTAGATTACAATGAATTAAATGCATGTGTGTGACTAAATTAATATTTTATGTGATTTTAAGTTATAGGTCCTATAAAATACAGTGATTGTGCATCATACGAAATATGTGAATTATAAAAGGTATATTTTATCATAAATGATTAGATTATACTCACTTTCCAAAATATACACTAATTGTTTTATTTTTTGGCCAGTCGTGACAAAATTTTCTATATGATTTTTTTTAGATAATTATCAATCACTGTAAGTGGTCAGTTTTTGTTAAATTCATTTTATATACACATGATACATAGGCCTTATTCACCATTTGTGAAAACCATTAGGGGAAAAAGGAGAAATTTAATCAATCTTTCAAGTTTCACATTTTATGCATAGCAACTATTACAGACATTAAACACAACCTTGACTGAATTAATCCAATTACTCAACTCCATGGTTCTCACACCTCAGTTTTTTCACTTCGCATCACCATTTGGTAACGTGCTTTGTGCTAGTGCAAACCTTTTTTTTCTCAGCTGCAGAAGCTGCGAGTATCTCCCTATAAGCTTCAACTTCATCAGGAAATGTCTGATCTAGTTCCTTGAGCAGATGACTTCTAAAGCTCTTGAAGGTGTCTGTTTTGCCTTTAGTAATCTGATTTTTGGCAACACAACTATTCAACACATCCCGTGTAAATTCATCTGGATTCTTCCCATCATCTATCAAATTAATAACCTCCATGGGCACCTGAATATTACAGTTGTCCGCTAATTTCTTCATATTATCCAACTCCAACACTAAATTATTCATGGCCCGGAGAAGGGGTAATTTGGATGCCACATTGTTAGAGGAGACAGTGAGGTCGAGCTGGTGGAGGATACCCAATGTTTTCTCAATTGAATTGGTAACTAGGGTTAAGTTTTGTTTTGAATCATCCGTTGGAGTTGTGGCAGCGGTAGATGAAGATTCCATAGGGGATATGTCGTTAGATTGTAGAATAGTTACGCCGTTCCCACAGAGTTCGGTTACTGAATTTATTGGTCTAAGCATCATCGCAGGTTGCTGAACAAAGCCATAAAAAGGCACATCTCTCTGTTTCAAAAAAAGAAAAACAAACATTAATTGGAGATATATACCATAGAGGATAAATAGTAACTCAAAAATTTTAGAAAAGAAATCTGCAACCTGAGCAGTGTGTTTGAGAAGGTAAGCATCAAGCAAATGCTTTCTGTTGATTAAAATCCAGACTTGCCCTAGGGTTTTTGCGGAGGTAACGAGGGCTTGCATCTCAGATTCTTCTTTTCTAGTACCCATTACTCTTAAGTCTCTCTCTAACTCTCTACATCTCTCAGAGTGTGTGGGTGGGAGATATATAGCGACAAAAGGGGGAGGAGGGGAGGTTGACTGGAAGGAGGCTTAAACTGTTGTCCTAATAAAAAGATTTAAAAAATCTAAATTGGGCAACAAGATTGGTAGTCAAGGACGCGGCAAAAATAAATTTAAATTCTCTAAAGTATAATTTTGAGGAATATTATTTTAAGGGTTTGAAAATAATTAAATTTTAAACATGTAAGTAGGAGGTGTTTATAAACTATTTAAATTTTAAAAAA